CTGACAATGTACTGCCCATATGCTGTTTAATTGTGCTCATCTGCCAGAATTAATCAATATAGATGTAACAATTTTTCATATAAAAAACAAAATTTTATCAGAAATCAAGATCTAGACAATTAAGTTGAATAATTAATTTATTACATTGTAATCACATCGATCACTAGTAAGAAAAAAAATGAGGGTTTAAGTAATCCCTAACACATAAATTAAAACTCAGAGGGATCCTTTCTCAAACTTTACTAATTGTTTAATTATAAAAGTACCAATAGCAACACAGCACAGTCTGATCCATAAGTATCCCAACAATCCTCAAGATGCTTTGTTTCAGAATCCCAGTATGAAGTCACTAAGTAATTCCAAGAGCAGGCTGGAGGGAAAGCAAAGAGAAAATCCCAGGCCAGATTACACATCTGTTTGTTTTGTAAATGATGTTTGTTTTACAGAAACTCAACAGGAGACAATCCTTCATCAAAAAGCAGTTTTCAACATTATCTGAACATTCACAAGACTATCCATATAACAACTGAGTTGTTCTGCTATGGACACCTTGTTTAAAAGAGATTCTGGACTATGGAAACAGTCCTTTGGGTTGACGAGCAAAAGTTTCTCCAGGCATTTGAATGTACTTATCTGTCAGCATTGTGAGCAGATTGATCTTTCTTTTCATGTGACTAAGGTCTATACTGCAAATCGCCCATGGTTCTGACAACATGAAAGCAAAGTTAGCAGTAAATTATATGGACATGATACATTCTTTCATCAAGTGCAAAGAAAAGAAACTTTAAGAAAGTCAGTACAAAATAATTTCAAGTACTGGGTTTAAATAAATCAAAGCCCCTTATGTCACTATCTGCCATTACACGAGCAAAAAGCACTCTAATGAATGTCACCTAGGTATACAGATACTAAGATGCATGCTTTTCAAGGTTCAAGCCACATTGATAAAGTACATCGCCGTGACTCATGTCATTTGATCATCTTGTCTTTTTGCTTAAGCTTTTGCATTGCCTAAACATCTCAATTATTAAGATGTTTTTACTTCTGGCCCAACATAATGCTAACAAAATATTAATTCTTCAAATCATATTGATAATTTTAGACATGTTCATTGTGTTGGTTACTAGAAAACAGCAAATTTGAGAACGTGAAATTTTAATTTTCCAATCTCAAATTTAAAAACTGAGGACTTCCAAAAAAAGGAAGATATTTATACATCGGATACTTCAGTAAAAATATTTGCGAGTGCAACAATATTTTAAATGTTCAAATTATATAAATTGTGTATCATCAGGATTCTTCTATCATAAAGCTTTCGTATAAATGGTATTTCCTTCAATCACTCGAACCGAAACTGATATCACAATGTAAATTCATCAGTCTTCCTTCCCACCATAAAATATTACAACTATAAACTAACGCATTGAAAATTATCTTGCAGCTGTTTCAGAGACAGTGCAATATGAGGGGAGGAGAATAATTTAAAATAATTTGATATAACTGATTATAATTCACCCACATTGTGATTGGCCTTTTCAAAGTCATGACACATGTACTTTTATATTGTTTTATGGGTGAGAAAAATTATAATTTACAAAATTCATAATGAGGAGCAATCAACTAAAATGACAGGAACAATGCCTGCAATTTGTTTCTGCCAACGAAACAGATTTGTTCATAAAACACAATTTACAGATTCTGTGAAAACTATACGCTGAAAGTAATGCTCAGAGTTACTCGCTTATCAGGCCTGATGATTTAGATAGGGAAAAATTACATAACAGCACTTAAAGTTTGATTTTATGTTCCTTTTCTTCCTCCAATACCCCTTCCCCAACTGCTCTCTCACCAAAGTCCAACAGCAGAAAAAAATTAGCATTATAGTCTCAGTATTAGTCATACATCACTGAAACAGACCCTTCAGTCCAACCAGTCCATGCCGACCATAATCCCAAACTATGAAGACTTGGAAGGGGGGAAAGAAAGAGAGAAAAAGGAAATTAAAACATTTAAGAGCTCAATAAGTTGAAAGGTTCTTCATCTTCAACATAATAACATTTGTAGAAAGGTTTAGGTGATTAAATTATGTTGGCTACAATTATAAGCCAGTACCTAAAATATTGTCAGTGCAATCAGAGGTCTTTAAATCTCATTGTTTGAGTATGCTGTTTAACAACCGCTGGCCCTGGGTGTAGCAATGAGGAAGTGTAGGAATAATAAGTAAATGTTGTTCTTCCCAATCTGATTATAACCAAGTTGTAAGGAAATATCTTTATAGCTGAAAGATTCTGAAAATAAGGAATGGACAAAGAGAGAAAACTAAGTATTCTTATGCTAATGGGAGAAAGATCCGGAGCAACCCAATGGAATTAGAAATACATGCTAGAGGACAAATGCGATGCACTAGAAATTAGAAACCCAGTTAAACCAAAAATGTGTTTCAGTTTGATCATTTTAAAAATACACTGAAAATTAGTTAGACAAGAAATGACTTACAAAGATGACTTATAAATTAGTACAAGAAAGAAGTGAGAACGTAGAATAGAAAAGATAGATGACCCGTTGATGAGATATCATTTGGGAGTCACAAGATAACTCATTCAAGTTGCTGCAGCATTGAAAGGAGATAGCAACAGAGCAAGCAACAAAGCAAGCAACAAAGCAAAGATGAATATAGCCAAATTATGATGAAATTTTGGGGTTAGATTCAATCTACAACCAGAGTCTAGAAATAAAAAGCACCAATTTGCAAACGTATTACAACATTATGGATTGAGAGGAGTGAATGGACACAAATAAATGAAAGTTACAGAAACCTTGTGATAATTTTAACTTTCAATAATTAATTACTAAACCAAAGTAAAGTTGGATATAAAAGTGGCTTTAACATAACACAAAACAGAAACATCTTAGGCTAGAAACAGGTTGAAAAGATGAATACTGAACTTAGGTTCAAGCCTCTTGCTAGAATCGAGCATGGGGGTAAGGGGAAGAGATTGGTTAATTTACTAGTCTGCAGATTATTCTGGCTTGGAGGCAGGGCAACTAATAAGACGTAACACTTAGGTTCAAAAAAGATTTAGATCTTTCAGATAATTCAACATTTTACATTAAATCTGCATTGAAGTTATAGTTACTGGAATAAGGAATTGAAAAATAGAAGGATCTATTTGATGGAACAGTAATATTACATATTGATTAGAAAAAATATGCAGGGCATTGAGAAAGTGGATAAGTAAATAAAACTACTTGTAATTGAATTAATCAAAAAAATCTATTTTGTTTATTAATGAGCAGTCCATTTGGAGCACAGGGTACTCTGATCACCCAAACATGTGCACTGACACATGAATAAAGTTGATTCCGTAAGTAAGGAGTTTAAGCTACAAAGAAGTTGGATTTCTTCTCCTTTAAACAATCTAATGAATATAATGTCACGATATTTGTGTTGAGGTGGCATTGACGAAACGCTTGAACTACTGCCATATATATCTATTATCTCCCTCCAGACTGTGGCGTACATCTGAACTATTGGAATGGTTTAATTCAATGCTGTTTTGCAGGGCAGTATGCAATTTAAAGAACAGCCGATCTACTTATTGCATAGAACGGGCGTGAATCTACAATCTTCTCACTAAGAGACAGAGTATTATCAATTGAACTGTAGATGACAGAATCATCATTTCAAGAAGCATTAACCATCTGTGCTACGCTGAATCTTCACATACAGTAAACAAAGCCCATGTACATGCACGAAGGATAAGTGATGAGTAACGTTTGCACAAGTCATTTTGGCTACAAACGAGTGTTGTATATTTAAATCCCTCTCTTCTTCGAGGTGAATTGTTCATCTGTTTTTATAACTATATATAAGTATCATCTGAGATTAATAACGACTGGTTGACAGTTTATTAACATTAAAGCCCGAACCTGGAAGCTGGGAGGCAAGTCCGATTGCACTTTACTACATAGGAAAATAGTCTGCTGGTCAGGCATCTAAAGTAAGAAGACGATGCAGATTCCCCCACCCTCAAGAGAATCAATGTAGAAGCTCCTGACGAGGAAGTCAACATATGTTCAGGAAGTTGAACATCATAACAAACTTGATCATCTCCATGTTAGAGCACACAGAAAACAAAAACAAACTTCTTTTAAGTTTGGGGCGGGGGGGGGGAGGTGGTGGAAGTCAGGCTCCGGGAGGCTTTTCGGGGAAGACGGAGGATCCTAGGCTCAATGCGACAGCCTGACCCACAGCGGCGCTCACAGGGTCCGGGAGCCGCTGCAGTTGCCGCGGTGGTGCTGTATGTGCGTGTGTGTGTGAGAGAGAGAGAGAGAGAGAGAGAGAGAGAGCCGGAGCGGCCCGGCCCATTCCCAAAGCACCAGCCCCTCCGGCAGTCACAGCAGTGACGGCCACCCCACCCCAACCGAACCCACTCCAACATACTCCCTCACCTTATACACATGCCGCCAAAAAGACACTCAAACACTAGGCTCTCTCTAACTGTGACCCAGGTTCCTCACTCACCGCCGATCGGGCTCGATTTTCTTCCTTTTTTCCCCCACACAGGCTCCAACCGTCCACTGCCCGCCCCCTCACGTGACCACACCAAACACCACGGCGGAGGGGCGGGAACTGTCGGAGCCCCGCCTCCCACCCATCGCGTCCGGCCCAGTCGACGGACCTTTCACTTGACGCTGCACGCCCATTGGTCGCGGGTCGACTGCCGTAAAATCGTGGCCCCGCCCCCGGAATTCGCCGGCTGGGTGATGTCATCGTCCACCAGAGAGTCGAGGAAACTTGGCCGAGGGGAAGGGAGAGAGAGAGAGAGGAGAAAGTGTGAGTGGGGAACGGAGAGCGAGCTGGGACGGAACAGGGGGAGTGTAAATGGGGCAGTGGAAAGGGAGGTGGAGTGTGGAAAGCACAGGGAGTGGAAAGAGAGGGGGAAACTGGGTGGGGGGAGTGGAAAGAGATGGGGTAGAGTGTGGGTGGGGAGGGTGAAAAGGGAGGGGAGAGCGTGGGTTGGGGGACGTGAGTGAGTGGGAGAGAGAAAGAGGGATTGGTGAGAGATGGTGGAAAGATCGTAATGAAGCGGATTGAGAGAAATGGGCTGAGATTGGGGAGCAGAAAGAAAGGGAGCAGACAGAAGGGGGTGGAGAGACTAGGGGAGTGGAGAGTGGATGACAGAAAAGGGGTGAGAGTGGGGAATAGAGAGGGGCGAGGGAGAAAGGGACGGAGATATTGGGAGAGGGGAAAGAGAGAACATGAGGAATGGTGGAAAGATATAACATGGAGAGAGGAGGAATGGTATAGAGAGGACTGAGAGAGAGGGAGGGAACAGAGAAAGGGAGACAGACGGGGGGGCGGTGGTGATTGACGACAGGAGAGAGAAAAATGAAGTGAGAGATGGTGAAAAGACAAGATGGAGAGAAGGAAGAGGGATGGTGAAACGAGGGGTAGGAGGAGGACTGGATGAAGGGAAGGTGAGAAGGGAGAGAGAAGGAAGAAACGATAATCGCATCTCAGTTTTACAGTTAACGGAAAAAATTGAATACATCTGAAAGTGTGATCTCTCAGTTTGATAACAAATCTCAATTTCCCACACGTAGCAGGTTGATAACAATCAACTGATTTGTTTTTGTGATGAAAGGGTAAATGGACAAAATTTCAGCCATATTTAACTCAAAATGTAAGGTATATTTCTCCTATAGATACTGTCAGATCTGAGTTTAGTTCATTTTTTAAAATTTCGGATTTCCAACATTTGTATTTTGCTTCTATGTTATTGATGTTTTTAATGTTAATTTGGAAAAGAAATCGGTCTGGAAACAATTCCCCAGGTCTTCAAATAGTGCATGGGATCTTTTATGAAAGGGCAACAGTGAGCCTCGGTTTTAAAGTTTCATTGCAAGGTTGGTATCTGGGATGGTGCAACGGTCCGCCAGTACTTCAGTAAAGTGACAACCTGGATTTTTACCAAGTCTGCAGTGAGACTTGAACTCTAATTCAGAGGTGAGAGAGCAACCAACTGAACCCCGACTGACTGAATTTGGAATGGTGAGATGGAAGGGGGGAATAGGCGAATGTAATGAGGATTTGGGGAGAACAAACAAGAAGGAGGTGTGGAAAGACGATTTGGTTGTGAATGGACCCAGTGTTCTGTCACTCCGCCCAGTGAGCGCCAGTTTAACAGCGTGCTGATGGTAGCTTATACCTTTGTTTCTGTTTCACTTAAAAACTGGAGAATTGCAGCAGGCGGAACCGAATAGCTGCTATTAATCAAAAGTCAAAAAGTACACAGAGTCTGCTAATGCCTGGGGATTTGAGATTTTTGTTTGGGACATAGGTACGCTGGTTATAACAGTAAATGATCGGATCATGTGGATTGCAAGTGACAGAAAGATGTCAGCATTAAGCTGCTGGATACGCCTCTCTTTCATTCATACAGATCGATTGAGATTTCATACGTGGAGCGATTAGGACAAAGCTCGTGTAATTTCAATGTGGGAGTGTGTACCGTACAAAGCTCCAATTGCTGAAAACGCTATATTCAGGTCCAAAAGCCAGTTGAGCCACTGCCCTGATACCGGGTAGGATTTTCTTTCACAGAAGTGAAATGTACTTTGACGTGTGATCATTGGGATCGTTTAACGTCTCATTTCTCAACTGATTCACACGAGCATGTCGTGAAAGATTATACTCAAAAGAGCAACAACAACCGGGTATGTCACTTAGTGTAAGGTACTAACGCCAGCCAAAACTGCGTAACTGATTTACAAACCACAATACCTCTTGTTAAATCACGATACCTTTTTTTTCATTAAACTACGCACAGAACCCTCATAAAATCGTTTGTTATTTCAAAAGGCCTTCAATACTGGACATCACAATGACAGTCAGGATAACAGAGACTTAGAACAAAACAACTATAGCACAGAGGAGCTAATCAGCCCGTCAAATCTATGCCAATTCCTTCAAAGAGCAACCAGCTTGTCCCACTCCCTTACTCTTTTCTCATATCAATATAGATTTTTTTCTTCAACTATTCATCTAATTCTCTTTTAAAACCTGTATCAGCCCGTACATTAGTGTATTAGTGTGTTATTTTCCATTTTTTGCTCCACTGACACCTGGGATCCTTCTAGGAGCTGGGTGCAAGGGACAACACTGCATGTGGTCAAAGCTTCAGCCTTATCTCTGTGCGATGTGGCCTGGGCAAACAGTGGTAGATAGCAGAATGAAGCAGCGGGGCTGCATAAAGGAATGTATCTCTTTGGACCTTACTTGTATTTTATTGGGTGTTTTATCACACATCACCTGGTTAGCAGCCTCAGTCTCATCCTCATTGTTAGAACAGGTTTTCTGGTCCACCATGTTCTTATTGTTCAATGCCCTCCCCTCTGAAAACTCAGGTTGTGCAGTGCATGATTTGCTGGATGTTTGCTGGGGCATAGTGAAGTGATCCACCAGAACAATTAACGTCCCTCATCGCATCTTCAAGGAAGCAAAGGTTTGCTTGATGGTACTGCAACTTTCCCTTGGCAGATGTTGGATAACGCCATGGGTTCCCCACAGATAGGAATAACCATCTCTTCAGTAGGTAGCCCTTTTCTCCAAGTTTCCACTCCTGGAAGCAAAGTGGGGACAAAGCTGAGTGTAAGTAAGTGTGTGTGATGGTTGCTTCCTGTGAATTTTTTTTTTTCGGCCCTAATTGTTTTTTTCAAATAAAGAGCACATGAACAAGGAACAGGTGAGATGGAGCTTCACCTGCATCTCCTCCAATCTCGTCTATTGCATCTGGTGCTCCCAGTGTGGTCCTTTCTACGTCGGTGATGCCAAACATAGACTAGGTGACCATTTCGCCGAGCAACTCCGCCTGGCCCATAACAGCCAACCTAACCTCCCGGTCACTGCCCATTCAACTCCCCACCCCACTCCCCTTCCGACATGTCCGTCCTTGGCCTCCCCAGTGTCTCAGAGACTCGGAATGCAAATTTGAAGAACAACACTTTATCTTCCACCTGGGCACCCTACAGCCCAGAGGACTCAACATTGAGTTCTCTAATTTCAAATAACCTTCCCACCCATCACCCACCTCGTCTTCCAGTGCCACCTCCTCCCTTCCATTCCACCTTCTGACCCTCCCTTCCAGCCACCAACTGGATTCATACCTCCCATTAACCAACCAGGTCATACCTACCATCAGTGTCCACCTATCACCACCATTCCGCTCCATCCCCCCATCTCTTTAGCTGCAGTTCCACCTACCCCCACATCCAGTCCTGAGGAAGGGTAATACCTGAAACATTGACTGCTCTTTTCCTCCAGATATTGCCTGACCTGCTGTGTTCTTCCAGCCTCTTGTTTGTCAGCCAGATTCTGTACTGCCTAATTCTATGATCCTGTGAGTGGATATTTTCCTCCAATGGGGGATCCTGGAAGAGAGGAGGGGGTGAGACCATGAGACTAGAACCGTGTAGTATAAAGGGTTAATGACGATGATGGTGTCAGATCACATCTTTCTGGAATTTGGGGACAGATGGTTCTGGTGGAGTTTGGCTAAGTTCTGTCCTGTAATTAATGTCAATAATCAGTCCGTGCTCACTAGCTGCACCCAGGTGCTGTCCAGCTCTTTACTGAAGACAACCAGAACCCAGTTGTGATAACAATGCAAGCCAAACCATTTAGCAATAAATCCAGGAGCAAAGTCACTGACAAAAATTGCTCAAAATATGATGCACTATCCCCTTAATGGCAACACATCCTGGTGGTCCATTTAGATAGGTTTACACAAAGATTTTGGTCATAAAAGTCCTGCAGATGACAGAAATCTGAAACAATAACTGAAAAGTGCTGGAGAAACTCTGTGGGCCTGGCAGCATCTGTGGAGAGTGAAACAGAGTTAATGTCCAGCCTGACTTACTTTTTCATATTGACAGATTTACAGTCTGCTCATTTGCTTTTGTGGGTGAGAGCTGAACTTTCAATCTTTGCTTCTCAGACCTTGTTTTTGATGGGAGATCATCTTCAATGTCATTACTTGAAAGACAGAGGAGAAGTTGAATATTAATTCAGAGTGGAACGTCGCTCCCCTCCTTCAGACTCTGTCATAAGACTGGCTGCATGGAGAGTGTGCGTTATATCTACAACTTCTGGTTTCCTGAGAAAGTGCTGATTTTGTATTGAGTCCATGATTTAATCCTGGAATGTCCCATTGACTCCCAATATTGAGAGAGGATGAGGTTTGGTATGGTAAAATCGCCATAGTCCCAGAGGCTGCTCTCTCTTTAGAGACAGACAACTGGTGGTGGTTTAACCTGAGGGTCAACATTCCTCAGGTGACAGAGAGGTTGAGAAGGAGAGTCCTTCACTGTAACCTCAGCCGGGTTGGGAATTGAACCCACTCTGTTGGCATTGCACTGTGTCACAAACATATTTGGTAATGATGTCCTAACAGCAGCAATGCTGACTGGCACTGACATAATACACAGCTTGCTTGGATACAAAGCTGAAGGGTGGAGATACCTGTAAAATTAATTCCTAGCATGTATCAGAAACTTTATGAGAAATCAAATCAAATCAAAGTTATGTTGGGGGTACAGTTTGCCATTAAGCTGCTTGATTGTGTTTGTGCAGGAACTCAAGTGAAAGATGACACACAAACTAACTAACCATGCCTCCTATATTCACATCCGAATCATTTATATATTTGATGAAAAGCAGTCGACCCAGCACTGATCCTTGCAGCACACCACTGTTCACAGGCCTCCAGTCTGAAAAACAACCCTCCAGTACCCTCTGTCTCCTACCTTCAAGCCAATTTTATATCCAAATGGCTAGCTCTCCCCATATTCCATGTGGTCTGTCCTTGCTAACCAGTCTTGCAGAACCTTGTCAAACACTTTACTAATGTCTCTATAGACAATGTCCACTGCTCTGCCTTCATCAATCTTCTTGGTCACTTCTTCAAAAACTCAAGCAAGTTGGTGAGACACGATTTCCCACACTCAAAGCCATGTTGACTAACTCTAATCAGTCCTTGTCTTTCCAAATACATGTAAGTCCTGTCCTTCAGGATCCCCTCCAACAACTTACCCACCACTGATGTCAGGTTCACCTGATTTTTCCTTACAGGATGTTGGAGAGGCCACTTTTAGAATTCTGCGTATAATTCTGGTTGCCCTTCTAAAGGAAGGATGTTGTGAAACTTGAAAGGATGCATAAAAGATTTAAAAGGATGTTGCTGAGGTTGGAGGGTTTGAGCTACAGGGAGAGGCTGGGGCTATTTTCTCTGGAGCATTGGGGGCTGATGATTGAACTTAGAGGCTTATAAAATCATGAGGGGCATGGATAGGGTGATTTGTCAAGGTCTTTTTCCCAGGGTAGGGGAATCCAAAACTAGAGGGGATAGGCATAAGGTGAGAGGGGAAAGATTTAAAAGGACCTGAGAGGTAGCTTTTTGATGCAGATGGTGGTGCATGCATGGAATGAGCTGCCAGAGGAAGTGGTGGAGATAAGCACAATTACAGCATCTAAAAGACATCTGGATGGGTAAATGAATAGGAAGGGTTTGGAGAGATATGGGCCAAATTTTGGCAAATACGACTAGGTCAGATTGGGATATCTGGTTGGCATGGGCGAGTTGGACTTGAAGGGTCTGTTTCCATGCTGTGTGACTCTATGACTTTATGACTGTAAGAGTAGGTCACTCAGCTCTTTCAGTCTGCTCTACCATTCAATAAGATCATGGCTGATCTTAACCACAACTCTATATTCCTGCATAGCTCTGATAATCTTTCAGCCCCTTGGTAATCCATTGGTAATCAATATGAAAAAAAAACAAACACACAAATTGCTGGAAAAAAATCAGGTCTGGCAGCATCCGTGGAGAGAAACCAGAGTTAATGTTTTGGGTCCAGTGACCCTTCTTCAGAACGATACCTGTAAAGTTAACTCTGATTTATCTCCTCAGATGCTGCCAGACCTGTCGAGTATTTTCAGCAACTTCTGTTTTTGTTTTTCTTTCTGATTTCCAACATCATAGTTCTTTCAGTTTTTTGGTAATCAACATGACTCTTCATCTGTATGACACTAGCTGAAGAAGCATTCATATTGGACTTAAAATGTTAACTCTGTTTCTCTCTCCACAGGTGCTACCAGACCTGCAGTGAAATGAGAACACTTTGGCCAGTGGGTTATTCCTAAAGGCAAAAAGCTAGGCTCATGATGTTTACAGCACAGAAGGAGGCTATTCAGTCATGTGTCCACACAGGTCAACAAAGATCTGACTACACCAACCTCATTTTCAAGCTGTTGACCCATGGACCGGGAGGCTATGGTAATGCAAGTGAATATCTAAATGCTGCTTCAATATTGCAAAAAATTCTAACTCATCCACCTTTCAGAAAGTAAGTTCCAGATTCCCACCATGCTGTGTGTGAATAAAATACTCCACAAGTCTCCTCTTAGCCTTCTACTTCTTACCTTAAATCAATGCTCCCTGGTTATTGGCTCCATTACTAATGGAACTAAGTGTCCCTTTGTACCCCTCTTAATCTATATATCTATATCAGGTTCCCTCTCAACCTACGTTGCTTAAAATATAAAGCCACTATCTTTTTATTTTTCTAAATTTTGAATGTGGACTGAAATGGGAAAAACACCTTTTTAGAAAAAACAAGGATTGTAGAAGGGGTTGCTGAACTGTTTACAAAGCAAGTGACCAGCGCTTATTCTAAGTGCTGTTTACAGTCCTGCTTGTTCAAGCATTGGGGGATGTTTAGTTGCAGGTGTATTGGCACCAAGGAGTGTACAAAATGAGATTCGGCCAACAACAAGTTGATTAGCCTGTGGAGTGACAAAGAGTTGTCAATGACACAGGCCTTCTGCCTGTTAGCAACTATGTGATTGGTTCCCAGCTAGCTGATCAGATTCGAGGTGTAAACAAAATGGCCAGAAGCCTTTGGACCAACGTCTCCTTTAGCAGCTCCAAGGTTCCATGCACAGTGAAAATCTTTGGCACACTGTATTGACTGTCAATTCTGGAAGTTGCTAATGCACACGGGCCTCAGAGACTCATGTGACCAGGAAGAAAATTAAAGGAAAAGTGCTTTGGACCTCCTAAAGGGTAGGTGGTGTCTTTTTTCTGCTGTGAGAAACACCTAAAGCCTGAAGAAAGCCCATTTACTTTGACTCATCAGTTGCTGTAAGCCATTGTTTTTAACTAATAACTCAGAGACTTTATAAGCTGTGAACCAATTGCTCTGTGCTTTCCGTAAGCCAGTGAAAGTGCTTGGAGAAGGGAGACTGAGAAGCAACAGTTCCTGGCAAGTCAAAATAATGATCTCAGCTAACCCTGTGGATAGGGATCATTTTTATAATTCATTCACAAGTAGGGTACTGACTAGGGCAGCATTTATTGCCATCCCTAATTGCTCAGAGGATAGTTAAGAGTCAACCACATTGCTGTGGGTTTGGAGTCACATGTAGACCAGACCAGGTGAGGATGGCAGTTTCCTTCCCTAAAGGACATTACTGAACCAGATGGGTTCTTCTAACAATCAACAATGGATTCATGGTCATCATTAGACTCTTAATTCCAGATATTTATTGAATTCAAATTCTACATTGAACTGCATTCCCTATTTTCTCTCCACCTGAAACACTAGATTGTTTCATGTATGTGTGTCTACATGTGTAGGCATTGTTTTATAAATTGACTACAATTTTAACTATGTCAATAGTTCATAGTTGTATACCTGTAGGTAGAATCTCTTCATTTGTCATAAATAGTCACTTACGTTAAGTGCAGAAATCTGATCCATGCTTTTTGTTAACTTGATTCTAAAAGGGAATCTTACATACTTTGATAAAATCTTTAACTTTTGTGACAACTCTGGGAATAGTGGGGCCTGATTTTAAGTGTATTAACCCAGTGAAGTGTGACACAAAGAAAGCAATCCCAAACAATTCAAAATCTTTCCTTGTAGTTTTGACCTTTAAGCCCAGGAGGCATCTTGGCAAATTTCTTCTGCACCCTCCGGAGTGTAAGCACATCCTTCCCATAATGTGGTTAACAGAACTGTAAATAATATTCCAGCTGTGGCCTTAACCAATATTTTATACAGTCCCAGCATAGCATCTTTGCTCTTGTATTCTATGCCTTGGATACAGCATAGAATGTTATGGAGTTTGTTGCTCAGCTGTTCTGGCACATATCTTCAAGTCAACAATCAATCACAATTGCCTTTGAAGTCTTGCAGACGGAACATGCTCAGTAAATACATATTGGGACGTCTTTCAAAGGAACAAATAGGTTTCATCCTGAACTCAACAAGAGTGTTTTTTTTTCAGAAATGTCAGATTGGCTGTACAGCTTGTTCTTAGCAAACATTCCCCACAACTCAGCTTGTATTAGCAAGCTTTCTTCCAAGTGAACCAGTGAAACAAAAACCTCTCCAAGCCAGAGATAGTAGGAAGAGTCTAGGCCCGAAACGTCAGCCTCTCTGCTCCTATGATGCTGCTTGGCCTGCTGTGTTCATCCAGCCCTGCACCTTGTTGTCTCGACCTCTCCAAGCCAGTTGATTTTCAAAATAGCCCAACAGGGTTCTACAACAAGGCAAATAGTTATCACCAATCTTGTCATTTACAAGAAACTTTGTTTAAAAAAATCTCCAATGTCTAAAGTGCATTTTCAATGACCTCTTTTAAAGAAACCACTCCAGCTATTTCTACAAAACTTGAAGTAAAGAAATTTTCCAAACCTAATCACCACCCTTTAACATTCAATGATGTTACCATCAGTGAATCCCCCATTATCAACAACTTGGGGTTTACCATTGACCAGAAACTCAACTGGACTCATCAGATAAACATAGTGGCTACAACAGCAGGTCAGAGGCTAGGAATACTGCAGCAAGTAACTCAACTCCTGACTCCCTTAAGTCTGTCTACCATCCACAAGACACAAGTCAAGAGTGTGATGGAATACTCTCCACTTGCCTGATGAGTACAGCTCCAACAACATTCAAGAGTCTTGACACTATCCAGGACAAATTAGCTCACTTGATTGACACCACATCTACAAGTATCTATTCCCTACACTAGTGATGTTCAGTAGCACCAGTGTGTACTATTTACAAGATGCACTGCAGAGATTCACTAAAGATCCTTATACAACACCTTCCAAACCCGTGACCACACCCATCTAGAAGGACAAAGGCAGCAGATACATGGGAACATCACCATGTGCAAGTTCCCCTCCAAGCTACTCACCATCTTGACTTGGAAATATATTGCTATTCCTTCATTGTTGCTGGGACAAAATCCTGGAATTCCCTCCCTAATGGCATTGTGGGTCAACCTGCAGCATACGGACTGCAGAGGTTCAAGAAGGCAGCTCACCACCACCTTCTCAAAGGCAACTAGAAACAAATAAATGCTGGCCAGTCAGCGAGGTCCATGTCCCATGAGGAATAAATAAAAGTCCTCCAAAGAATGTTAAATATAAAACATTTTCTTAACACTTCCACCCCTTGTTTTATTGTAAAATGTTAATAAAGCAAAAAAAATTAAAAATTGAGACATTTGCTCTTTGCATGTAACATTTTTAATCACCTATGATGACTATTCAGTGCTTAGACAATTCAAACAAGATTACTTTCTTGACAAAGCACTGACAATTACATACTTTTTTCCTACAATGTGAATAATCTTTAAAAGACAAGGTTGTAATAACAAACTCCATGAATGTAGTCTGACATTTTGGTTCTTGGAGTTTTCCACAAATGCTAGGGCTTGTGATCAGCATTTGCCAACATCTGTCTGTGGCACAATAGATGTATACTTCAAAATGTTTGACAGCCAGTATTAATACCAGGGTTTCTTTTTCTACCATAGAGTATTTCTTCTCATGTGGATTAGTTTCCTAGTAAAGAATCTAGTAGCTTATTAGGCCTCAGAAGTATCAAAACATTTCTCATAAATTACTTTAAAAATATAATTTTGTTTGTTAGGCAGATGTACCAAACAAGTCGCATGCAGAAAGATCCCATAAACAGCAATGAACTAAATGGCTTTTTAATCTGTTTCTCACATTCTGTTTTGAGGGAAGTAAATTGGTCCATTCTTTGAATACTGCAATAAGATCATGATTGCCTACCTGGATAGGCAGACAAGACTTTGGTTCCACGCTTCATCTGAAGGTCAAGAAATTAAACTGAGATCCTACCTTCCCATTTACTTAGCAGGTTACACCAGTTCCCAATTTTACAAATTGATAACTGGTCATTTCCACCATCTAGATGGAAATGTTCCCACCTGTTCTAGCACCAGTGCAAACAGCTGAACTTTCTGGCTCAAAGCCATGCTGTTGAGTTTTCATTGGGCCAGTGACAGGATATTTTCCATGAAAATACTGCCTTTAAGATTTGCCTATTGTGTGAATCATAGCAAATCTGTATGCTTGCTAGCTCAAATTACAATTCAAAATTTCTTCATCACAGTACCCTTTTAACAGCAGTCACAGTAAAGAAACTTGCAGATTTAAATTTACTTCCCGGTTAACAAATATAAATGTATACATGAGTGGCAACTGTCTGACCAAACACTTTTCACTAGCTCTCAAACAGTAAGAAAGCATCAAAAATGCCTTCATTGGCAATTCCCCTTAAAAAATGATTCTGATATTTCCTCCTAAATTTTGTAATCAGCTGAAAGTTTAGTCAGAAGATTGCAGCCATGCCTTTGGTCCGCTGACTGTGCAAATATTTCTGGTATTAGTCATTTTTTATGATATGGATGAACTTCTTTGCTGAGACTGAAGTCAGAAATCAAGATTTAAAGGCTTAAACAGCAGACATGGTTTGGATATTGGCCAGCTTCTTCAGAGAAATAAGGAGAGGGGCTTCATACCCCTGGTCAGGTAGAGCACAATATGGAGAGAAAGTTAAAAGGGAGCAGGACACTTATCTTCTGCCTGCAATTTCAGTTGGAGGCACCAAGAACAACACCAAAATACATATTTGGAACAAGATGAAATTGAGTATTTGATTGTCATATATCCACTGGTGTAAGTGGAAATCTATGATTTTGCTGATGGGCTGAAACCAGTGAGTGGAGAATCAATTTATCCCCGTAAAGTTAGTTATTTTGTCTCCACTCCACAAATTATGTATAGGCTCCTTTCCTGCACATTTGGACTTTTCCCTTCTTCCTAAGGAGCTGACCATCCCAGAACATTCATTTACTTGAGACCAGGCAACAAATTCTGACACAAAATCAGACATTTATGAAGAAACTTTTCAGATCTGGCAGCATCTGTGAAGAGAAAACAAAGTTAATGTTTCAGGCCAGTGACCCTTTGTCATAACTAGATAGTAACTAGGAAAAGGTGGAATGTGTGCTGAAGATGGGATGGGGGGGCATGGGTGGAGAGATAAAGGAGTAAACAATAGGTGGAGACAGACCCCGGAGGGAGAGAAGGGCAGTTAGGCTGGTAAGCCAGGAAGACAGAGAAGCTGATACTAGGGACTGTAAGTAGATGAAAATGGGTTGGCTGTGATGAAAGCAGTCCATATGATGACAAGACCTGGGTTGTGAGGGTGGATAAAGGACATGGGACAAGTTGCTCAGGCCCTAAAATTATTACTCGATATTGAGTCCTGAAGGTTTGAGGGTCCCCAAGTGGAAAATGAGATGCTGTTCTTCCAGCTTGTGCTGAACCTCACTGGAGCACTGCAGCAGGCCCATGGCAGAGATGTCGGCCAGGAAACTTGGTGGTATGTTGAAGTGGCAGACTGAACATAGGTGTTCCGCAAAATGGCCATGCAGTCTGCATTTTATCTCCCCTGTGTAGATGAGACCACATTGTGAGTAACAAATATAGTAGACTAGGTTGGGTGAAGTGCAAGTAAATTGCTGCTTCATCTGGAAGGTGTGCCTGGAGCCTTGGATAGTGAGCAGGGTGGAAGTAAATGGGTAGATATTACACCTTTTGTGATTTGATTTTATTGTCACCGCTGACACCACTGCTTTTGAGAGATGGGTAACTGCTTTCTGAGATTTCCCAGCCGATTTGATTTTGAAAGCAGCCAAGAGCTTGTTAATGAGTCCCAGATATTAATGGAA